CCTGAGCCAGGAGCGGGGCGCTCATGACCGCGGCCGGTCCCGGCAGCCCGCCCACCGCCCCTGGCCGCAGCGCCAGCGCCAGCTCCACCAATCCTCTGAGTGCGGCCGCGCGCTCCTCCAGCGGCCCGGAGCAGCCCAGCACCGCCAGCGCGCCCGCTAGCGCCAGAGTCTCGTGCCTGCAGAGGCGGAGGGCACGGGGCTGCGGGCGGTGGGGAGGTTGGTAATGCGGGGGTGAGGGCTGGGAAGGGGAGATGTTTGCAGATCAGGGGAGCAGGGGGATCGACCCCCAGCCCAAGTTTCCGGCGGCTCTCTCACCTCTCCAGCAGCTCCAGTCTCAAGCGATGCCCGTGGGGAAGTGTGAGCAGCTCCAGGCCAGAGGCGACCCCCATGGCACCCCTCTGAGCCTTGGTCACCCCCAGAAGGCCTGCAGCCTGCGGGAGGGGAGCAGAGTGCAAGTGCTACCGGTGCGAGGAGGCCTGAGCCTCCTGCTGGGAGCAAGGGACCTGACAGGTGACCTACCTGGCAGTCTGCCAGTAGCAGGTGGAAGGCGGTGCTCCTGGGATGGTGCTCCAGAAATAGACCGCGGAGGGTACTCAGCACTTCGGGCTCCAGGGGCCGGTTCTGGGGCCCCAGCAGACGGGAGGGGTTGAAAGGAGGGCAGAAAGAGACCTCCGCCTGTGGCCTTGCAAAACATCCGTTCTCCTCTTCCTCCTCGACCTCCCACCACTGGCCCTGTGGCTCTGAGCACCTTTGGGCGGCGGGTGTTCCCCGGGCACCGGGCACTCGGGGCACCAGCTCACAGTATGTTGGGGAGCATGCAGAGACGTCGGGCAGGGCCAGCGAGGGTGTCCGGGGGGGTTTAGTTGGCGCCTTGGCATGCAGTTGTCCATCAGAGGCCCTGAGACCTTCGGCAGCGGTCCCCAGGGCAGCTGGGGGCTTCAGCAACACGGGCTCACTGCCCGTGCGGGGCAGGTCAGATACAGGCACAGTGGAGGGTCCTGGAGAATCACAGGAGAGGGGGGCGATGGGGGTGCACGGGGGAGATAGCTGGGACTTCCTGGGCTCCCACCCTCCCCAATCCTGGCTCATTCCACCAGACCCAGGGCATCCCCAACCACCCCAGTGCAGCTCAGAACTTCAACGATTTCACCAGGGAAAGGCTACGTGTTTGCCAGTGAGCTGAAAAGGGCCTTTTGTGAATGCTCAACATTCCGTTTGAAAATCTGACTTTCGGGGACTGGCAGGTGGCATGGTGGCTAAGGGCACTGGACTCCCACATGGGTGACTGAGGCTCGAGTCCTGGACTCGGCGGCTTGCTTTCTTGCTTTTCCTCGCTCTCTCTCTCCCTCTCTGGTTAAATTACAATAAATTAAATTAAATTATTGTAAAAATATTTTAAAAATAAAATCAGACTTTTTTTTTTTGGCTCCTCATGGTAGGAGAAAAGCCCCTTGCCACTGGAGCCCAAGCTCCCTCTCCTCCTCTCCCCTTGTTCTCAAGGACTCACCAGTGCTCATCTCTTTTTGGCTGAATGAACAGTTCAAACTCTTATTCCAGCCTCAGGACCTTAGCCCTGGCTGCCCCGTCAGCCTGGGCCACTCACACCGCTGAGCGGCACTGTTCCCCCCTCCCTTCTTTAAACCTTCTCAGTGGCGCCCTTCCTGACTACTGTTTAAAGTCACAGGGCCAGCAGGTGGCATGGGGAAGGCGCTGGGTCCCACATGGCCGATCCTGTGGTTTGAATCCCAGACCGGAGACTTGAAAAACACACCAGGAATGTGTGTGTGCATGCGTGTGTGTGTGTGTGTGTGTGTGTGTGTGTGTGTATGCTTGTGCATGCTCAAAATCCCAAGAGAAGAAATGGAGAAGGGATTGACCATCCCCCCTGGGGGGTGCTTTTCCACTTTCCTTCTCTCTCTCTCTCTCTCTCTCTCTCTCTCTCTCGAGAGCATGCACTCCTTGGCAAAAAGTAAACACATAATAAATACAATTTTAAAGAAAACATTGTAAAATCCATCTCCAGCCTTCTACTCCCAATCTCTTTCACACTGTTCTACTTTAATTTTTATCCCCAAACACACACAGTGGATTTACTTTTGTGGTTTGTGGTCACTATCTTCTTTTTCTTCTTCTTTTTTTTTTATATATATATAGATTTTTGCTATAGGGCACTTGTGCTCGCCAGAGAGACAGAAAGCGAGAAATCACCACCCCCCCCCCAGGGGGGATGGCCACACCACAATTCCCTTTCCTCCATTCTCCTCTCAGGATCTTGGGCATGCACACACACGCGCCTGGTGTGAGTTTAAGCTACCGGGTCTGGGACTCGAACAGCTGTTGACTACGTGGGAGACCAGTGATGTAACCATTATGCCATCTGCTGGTCCCACATGGTCACTGTCTTCTAATAGAATGTTGCCTCTGGTAGGGCAGGGATCTTTGTCTCTTTCCTTCTTTTATTCTTTCTTTCTTTCTTTCTTTCTTTTTTTTTTTTGCTAGAGGATACATGTGCTCACCAGAGAGGGAGGGAGAGGGAGAAAGCACCCCCTGCCCCGTGGGGCATGACCACACCACAATCCATTCTCCTCCATTTCTCCCTCCTGTAGGGAGTTTATGCACACAGTCCCTGGGCCCCACCAGAGCCAGGACTTGAACTGCATGGTCAGCCATGTGGGATCTGGCGGTTCCCTTAACTGCACGGCTTTCTGCTTTCTGTTCTCTGGTGCATCCCAGCACTCACTGCAGAGCCTGGTCTGCAGTGTGGGATGCTGGGAGGGCAGGGCAAACAGGGCATGGGGGGCTCAAGGGGGGTCCTTCTTTAAGTACGATTGTCAGGGTCAATTGCTTTGGGGAACTGACGCTGGATGAGAAGAAGCCAGTGAGGAAATGATCAGGGGAATGAGAATACTCCCACTAACCGTGAGAATGGCAAGTGCCAAGTTCCCGAGGCAGGAATAAATCTAGAAGGGTCTAGCAACTAAAAGGAGGACCGTGGGACTGTGCAAATCACAGAGGGGTATGGGCTCGGGGTTGGAGCAGCTCGTATGGCGTCTTGGAACAATTGTAAACACACATTTTAAAGCGCTACAGACTTCCTGTTTTTGTTTGTTTTGTTTTGTTTTGCTGCTGTAGGGTGCATGCACTCATCAGAGAGAGAGAGAGAGGGAGAAAGAAGTGAGGAATCATCCCTACATCCGAGGAGGACGGCCATGCCACAATCCCTTCTTCTCCGCCCTCCTTTCAGGATTGTGGGCATGCATGCATATGTGCCTGGTGTGATTTTCAAGCCACCAGGTTTGGGATTTGAATTGCAGAGACAGCCATGCAGGATCCAGCGCCTTAACCACCATGCCACCTTCTGGCTCCTTTCTGTGTGTTTTTATCTTATTTATTTTAAAGCATTATTTATTTTTTATTTCGTTGTATTTATTATTATTGTTATTATTTTTAAAATTTGCTATAAGGTACATGCACTCACCAGGTTCCCTTAACTGCACGGCTTTCTGCTTTCTGTTCTCTGGTGCATCCCAGCACTCACTGCAGAGCCTGGTCTGCAGTGTGGGATGCTGGGAGGGCAGGGCAAACAGGGCATGGGGGGCTCAAGGGGGGTCCTTCTTTAAGTACGATTGTCAGGGTCAATTGCTTTGGGGAACTGACGCTGGATGAGAAGAAGCCAGTGAGGAAATGATCAGGGGAATGAGAATACTCCCACTAACCGTGAGAATGGCAAGTGCCAAGTTCCCGAGGCAGGAATAAATCTAGAAGGGTCTAGCAACTAAAAGGAGGACCGTGGGACTGTGCAAATCACAGAGGGGTATGGGCTCGGGGTTGGAGCAGCTCGTATGGCGTCTTGGAACAATTGTAAACACACATTTTAAAGCGCTACAGACTTCCTGTTTTTGTTTGTTTTGTTTTGTTTTGCTGCTGTAGGGTGCATGCACTCATCAGAGAGAGAGAGAGAGGGAGAAAGAAGTGAGGAATCATCCCTACATCCGAGGAGGACGGCCATGCCACAATCCCTTCTTCTCCGCCCTCCTTTCAGGATTGTGGGCATGCATGCATATGTGCCTGGTGTGATTTTCAAGCCACCAGGTTTGGGATTTGAATTGCAGAGACAGCCATGCAGGATCCAGCGCCTTAACCACCATGCCACCTTCTGGCTCCTTTCTGTGTGTTTTTATCTTATTTATTTTAAAGCATTATTTATTTTTTATTTCGTTGTATTTATTATTATTGTTATTATTTTTAAAATTTGCTATAAGGTACATGCACTCACCAGAAAGACACACACACACACACACACACACACACACAGAGGGAAAGTAAGAAAGCAAGCCACCAGGTCTGGGACTTGAACTGCAGTCAGCTATGTGAGAATCCAGTGCTTTACCCACCATGTCACTTGCTGGCCCTTTCCATGTGTGTTTTTAAATCACCATGATGACATTGAGAGCTCTATCACCCCCATCTTCCAGAGCAAGAATCTAAGCACCAAGAGGTTCAATCCCGTGCTCAGGATCACCCAGGCAGTGCTGGCAAGCCAGTCCCACCACACAATCCTGGTGGACCTCACCTGGTCCAGAGTGGTCTTCTCTCGACTGTCCCATGTGCTCCAAATCTGCAGGGTGACTGTTACTCCACTTCCTAGCCCTGGGGGACAGACACAGCAGAGACATATCAGGGTGGCTCCCACCACTGCTCAGAAAATCCTATTTGCCATCATTCTGTATCAGTGAATTCCAACTAACCAAGGTGATCTACTTCCAGGGAATAAGAAGCAAGATGCAGAGACATTTCAAATTATCACAACTACCAGGGGAGAGAGGGCAGGCTTCTAGGCATATCTAGTAGACAGAGACCAGGGGCATAGACCAGTATCTTCTATGGTTTGGATCATGGTTTGTCTCCCAAAGATTCATGTTCTGGCAACTTGGTCCCCAGTGTAATGGCTTTAGAAAGCAGTGAGAGCTTTAAAAGGTGGGGTTTAATTGGAAGGTAGCATCCAACTGGCTGGGGGCATGGGAGGGACAGCGGAGGAAGTGGAGAATTCTGCTTCCCCTCTGCACCCCACCGCCTTCTCTTCTGTCTCTTAGGGCTGAGCTATGACGTAGCACTGGAGGCTAGCCTGATTGGTGCCTTTGCACCTTCCAGCTGCCAGAATCATGAATCAAATAAACCTCTATTCTTTATAAATAAAACTTTTATTCTCGATAAATCACCCTCACTTGGGTATTTCAGTGTTGCAATGCGAGAATAAACTATGACTGTATATTGTGATAACTCCCCCGTGACCCAAGGTTACAGCGTTTGTCAGACGTCGATGGCGCCAAGGCAGAGAGACTGGGAAGTGTTAGGGGTTGTCAAGGAAGCAGAGAGACTGTGAGTACCTGAGAGGCTCGGTCTGAGGTGGGCTGTCCGTGAGGGCGTCCTCGCTGAAGCTACGTCTCAGAGCTCCCTGCCGAGTCACAGGCCTGGAGGCCACAGCCCCGGTGGCCTGCGACAGTGGCCGCCGGCCAGTCACATAGCTGTGAACCAGGGCAGGCATGCTGGGAAATTGCTCATCCTCCAGCTGAAAGACGGCGGTGGGTCGGCCTGGCCGGGGACGCAGGGCCACACGGAACACCTCGAAATGTAGGGCTGAGCCCCTCCAATGGCAGGAAATCACAGGGCAGCCCCCATGGGACCCAGAGGCACGAACCAGAAAGTCACCGTCTTGCTGCAGAAGAGCTTCAGCCTTCTGAAGATGGAAAACAGGGAGTATGGGAAGATACCCAAACTAATAGTTAAAAGCAGCTCCCTCCCCATCATCCCCCACCCGAGAAAGCCAACCCAATGGCTGGCAGGTGGCGGGGTGGTTAAATGCGCTGGACTCCTACATGGCCAACTGTAGTTCAAGTCCTGGACCTGGTGGCTTGCTCTCTCACTTTTCCTCTCTTTCTCTCTCTCTCTGTCCCCTTCTGGTCAAATCAAAATAAGTAAATAAATTAATAAATAAAGTTAAATAAAAGAATTCATAAAAAAGGAAAAGAAAGAAAGCCAACCCAACTAACTCTGTGGCAGGAAGCCACTCTGGTAGTTTTGCATCAAACCATTTCCTTTTCCTGTGGGTATGTATCAGGACTACGTTTCCCATGCTCCTTTGCAGTTAGGGTTATCACATGACAAGATGCACTTTCTATCTCTCTGTCTCTCTCTGTTTCTCCAGATGTGCCCTATACCAAAAATCTCTCAAAAAACAAAGAGTTACTATAACTAGGGGCCAGCAGGGGTCATAGTAGTTAATGCGCTGGACTCCTACATGGCCAACTGTAGTTCAAGTCCTGGACCTGGTGGCTTGCTCTCTCACTTTTCCTCTCTTTCTCTCTCTCTCTGTCCCCTTCTGGTCAAATCAAAATAAGTAAATAAATTAATAAATAAAGTTAAATAAAAGAATTCATAAAAAAGGAAAAGAAAGAAAGCCAACCCAACTAACTCTGTGGCAGGAAGCCACTCTGGTAGTTTTGCATCAAACCATTTCCTTTTCCTGTGGGTATGTATCAGGACTACGTTTCCCATGCTCCTTTGCAGTTAGGGTTATCACATGACAAGATGTCACTATCTTCAGTGTCACCCCAAAGAAAGCAATAGTTTAAATGTAAGAAGTGTCATTGCCCGGTTCCCCTTACCCCGGGAGACCTGGGTCTGTTGAAACCTGTCCCTCATCAGCATCCAGGAGCCCCCTGCTGGTCAAGAGTGGGAAAGGCCCCCCCACCATGTGGTGCTGGGACCCTGCAGGACCTAGTACCTGTCGGGACAGGGGGCCGTGGTACCAGGGTTGGCTGGCAAGGTCCTCTCCATTCGGTGGCACCTGCATGGAGTTTCTGGAGGCAGAGGGGACCGGGGCTGAGCTCTGAGCTTTCGACAGGCCTCAGTTTTCCAGGTCTGCAAAATGGGAAGAGTTAGTCTCACTTCCTGAGTGACTGGTCAGCTTCTTCCACGCTCTTAGTTTCGGAGACAGAAGCCCACATTCTTGTTTTGTTTTGTTTTGTTTTTTTCTAAGAGAGATTTTTGCAGTAGGATGCATACACTCGCTGGAGAGTCAGAGGGAGACAGAGAGACAAAAAGTGAGACATCACCCTCCTCCCAAGGAGGATGGCCATGACACAATCCCTTCTCCTCTAGTCTCCTCTCGGGATTTTGGGCACCCACGCCCATGTGCCTGGTGTGTTTTAAGCCGCCAGGTCTGGGACTCGAACCGCAGTCAACTATGTGGGAGTCCAGCGACATAGCCATTACGCTAACTGCTGGTTCCCTATTTTTAAAGAATTATTTTATTTAACTATTTATTTATTTATTTAAATTTGACCAGAGAGGGACAGAGCAGAGAGAGAAAGAAGGAAAGTGAGAAAGCAAGCCATGAGGTCCAGGACTCGAACCATGGTCAGCCATGTGGGAATCCAGTGCCCTCAACCACCACGCCACCTGCCAACCCCATCTATCGAACTTTAAAATGCAACTCTGTGGTTGTATCCATATGGAAAGGGATTTAAAAATGTTCGTGAAAAAATGAGATTTAAGTATGAGTTTAGGGCCAGAAAGTGGCATCAAGGTTAAGGCAGCTGGATCCTACCTGGCCAACTCCGTGGTTTGAATCCTGGATCTGGTGGTTTGAAAACCAGCATGGAGAATGGAGGAGAATGGAGGAGAATGGAGGAGAAGGGACTGCAGCGTGGACATTCCCCCTGGCGGGGGTGTCTGTGTGTGATTTCTCACTTTCCCTCTCTCTTTGAGTGCATGTGCCCTAGAACAAAATAAATTGTAAAGAAAGTACACATTTATTTATTTGAAAGGAGCTGGCTCCCACAGAGTAACCATGGTTTGAAGTCTGACCCCAGCAGCTTGGAGAGCAGGCTGATCCCAATGAGACAGGGAAATGACAGCGGCATAAACAGTTCCCACCGGGGCTGTTTCTCTCTCTCTCTCCCTGATGAGCACATGTGCCATCTGGCAATTGAAAAATTGTTTGGAGCCAGCAGGTGGCATGGTGATTGGTGAGCTAGACTTCCATGTGGCCGACTGCAGTTCAAGTCCCGGATCTGGCAACTTGCTTTCTCACTCTCCCCACCCCTGGTGGAGCACGTGTGCTCTCGAGTTTTAAAATAATAAAAATAAATAAATAATTCTTGTAAACAATTGTTTTAAAGTATCAGTGTAGGGCCAGCTCATCGTATGGTTGTTAAGGCAGCTGGATCCCACATGGTCAATTAGGCAGTTTGAGTCCCAGAGCAGGCAGTTTGAAAAACATGGCAGGTGTATGTGTGTGTCCAAAATCCGGAGAGGAGGGAGGGATGGAGGAGAAGGGATGGCAGTGCTCATGGGGTGCTTTCTCACTTTCTCTGTCTCTCTGTCTCTCTTTGGCTAGAGCATGCACCCTCTGGCAAATTAAAAGAAACAGAAGAGTATCCATGTATTGGCTAGCTGCTGTGATGTAGCAATGACTCATGGGAAGGTCCTAGGTTCAAGTCCTGGGGTGTCTTGTTTTGCTGGGCATGTGTGTACTCCCAATTCTGGCTCGTTGAGGCTGGGAGTAGCCCGAAAACAAACAAACAAACAAACAAAAAAACCTGTTGGGGAGGTCTCTAGTTCATGGACAGTGAATAAATAAATAAACTTTTTAAAAATGTGTGCATCGGGCCAGCAGGTGGCACAGTGGTTAAGGCTGCTGGACTCTCACATGGCTGACCGTGGTTCGAGTCTTGGACTTGGCAATCTGCTTTCTCACTTTCCTCCTCCCTCTATCTCTCTCTGGTCAACTTCAAAAAATAAAAATAAAATAAAAATAATGACAATGAATAAAATTTTAAAAAGGTATGCACTTAGGACCGATCCTGTAGCCTAATAGTTAAGGGAGCTGGATCCTATATGACCAACTATGGTTCAAATCCCAGCCCTGGTGGCTTGAAACACATACTGGATGCATGCATGTGCATGCCCCACACCCAGAAAGGGCGAGGAAATGCCGGAGAGATTGTGGTATTGCTGGCTACACCTCACTGGGATTCTCAAGATGCAAGAAAAATCGAACTCATACATGGTTTAAAATGTCAAACCATGTCTTTTTCTTTTCTTCTTTTTTAAATCCTTCATTCTTTATTTTATCTTATTATTTAAAAAAATGTTTATTTAAGGGCCGGGAGGTGGCGTGGTGGTTAAGGGTGCTGGATTCCCACATGGCTGACCATGGTTCGGGTCCTAGACCACTCCCCCACACTCTATCCCACTCTGGTCAAATTAAAAATAAATAAATTAAGTAAATAAAGTTGGGACCAGCAGGTGGCATGGTGGTTGGGGGTACTGAACTCCCACATGGCTGACTGTGGCTCGAGTCTCGGACCTGGCGGCTTGCTTTCTCACTTTTCCTCTCTTTCTCTCTCACTCTGTCCCTCTCTGGACAAATGAAAATAAATAAAACAAAATAAAGTTAAATAAAATAATTCTAAAAAACAAAAAATATCTTTAAAAATAAAGTTAAATAAAATAATTCTTTAAAAAGTGTTTATTTAATTTTATTTATTATTATTATGGTTTTTAAAAACTTGCTCTAGGACATGTGTGCACACCAGAGAGAGACACAGAGAGAGAGAAAGAGAAAGTGAGAAAGCCAGTCACCAGGTCTGGGACTCAAACCATCATCGGCCATGTGGGAGTCCAGCACCTTAACCACCACGCCACTTACTGGCCCTTTCCTTGTTTATTTAATTTTTCAGGATTTCGTCAGAGAGCACGTGCGCTCACCGGAGAGAGACAGAGAGAGGAAAAGTAGTAACCACGCCTTGCCCCCCACCCCGTGGGGATGGCGACGCCACAATCCTTTTTCTCCATTTCTTCTTGGGATTTTGGACACGCACGCACACACGTGACTTCCTAGCAGCCGGGTTTGTGACTCGAACTGCGCTTGGCCACGTGGGAATCTGGTATCCCAACCACCATGCCACCTGCTGCCCTCCCCACCTTTTTTTTTAACATATGTACTTTTTCATTTTTTTTGAGAGGTTTTCGCCATAGGGCGCGTGCGCTCGCCAGACAGACAGAGAGAGACATAGAGACAGAAAGCGAGAAATCACCTCCCCCAGGGGGATGGTCACGCCGCAATCCCTTCTCCTCCATTCTCCTCTTGGGATCTTGGGCATGCACGCACATGCGCCCGGCATGAGTTTTAAGCCACCGGGTCCGGGACGCGAACCGCGGTCGACTACGTGGGAGTCCAGCGACATAGCCGTTACGCTAACTGCTGGTTCCCTCTGTTGCTATCTTCTCGCCTCACCTCACCTCCCAGCTGGGACTACATGGTCTCACTGTTGCCCAGGCCAGCCTCGAACTCATGACCCTCCTGCTTCCGCTGCCTGAGTCACTGGGCTTGCTGATGCGCCCCAAGATGCCCAGCCTTCAGGTGGAACCAGAATCCACGATGGACCTTCTATGTAGCCCCAGCCTGGGGACACTGTGACTGGGCATCTGTCTTAGACATTTTGATCACCTGATAGGCCTCAGGGCCAGGGTGTCTCAAGGAGGGAAGTCTGCTGGGAAGTGCACAGGGATCCCTTCCCCCTGAGTCAGCTAGGCTGAGAGCCTAGCAGGAAGTTCCCAGGCAGCCACAGGGGCGGGGAGCTGGGGGCGGGGAAGCTGGCTCTGGGCACCGCATACCTGAACCCAGGTGTGTCTTCAGAAGGCCTGGCCAAAGGCCAAAGGCCATGCACTTCCTGTTTGTCAGCTCAGCTGGCCCTGCCTGGGTCTCCTAGCCCCGAGCTCCTCATGCCCCTTAGCGGGGGTGTGTGTGGGCACAGCAAGGTTCTGGTTGGTTCAAGGAGCTCAGGGGTGGGCTCGGGTGAGCCAAAGCCCAGCCACGTCTCTGAGTCCTTTGG